TAGTATTTGGTCCTGCCATGCGGGCAGGGGACTGGACTCGATGACCTCTCGAGGTCCCTTCCAGTCCTATAATCTATGATTCTATGATTCTATGGCAGATAGTACCATGGCAGATAGTACCATCATCCTGATCTCCATCACCCGAGCCTGCTGAAGTGTCTCTTGCAGGTGCTCCATGAGAGCTGAGCTATGCAGCGGAGGGACAGGGTAGAGGCTGGAAAGGGCAGGGCTATACATGCTTTTGTGACATTGACCTCCCCAACTAAATCTTCCAGGATGCCCCAGCAATAGGTTAGGCTGCTTCTGCTTCCAACATGTAGATTTCTATACCTGGAAGAGGGAGGAAGAGGTGGTTTGGTAGCAGCAGCAGCTTCCAGGGAACCTGTGGAAGCACAACTCTATCTCTATCTATTCTGTCCACCAGGCTCCTGGTGCTCTAGTAATTTTGGAGGTGAATCCCCTTCTACTCCCAAAGGTGGAAGGGAGGAGAAACAACCCCAGTCTTGCCATGCCTTAGGTGAGAAAGCAAATGCAATTCTAGGAGTTTCTATTCCCTTAAGTATGCCTATTTCTCATGGGGGGTGATGTAATTAGTTTATGACTAATCTCTTCCACTCCAGTATAGTATTATATTCTATAACTACTCATAAGGATTCATGGATTGAACCTGCCATTTGCATTCTCAATATTGCCTACTGAGAAGCAGAAAGTTGATGTTACAAACCCTTCAGTGCTTATGATCCTGCTAGTGCCACAGACGTGTTCTTACCTTAATCCTCACTTAGACCAAGGAAGCCAGGTGTGTTGGTATTCAAGAGAGAAGGAGGGGATAGTAATGTGGACTTTTCTGAGTACAAAGCGCATTACACAACTGTGTATACATAAGAGGCGCTCTTGGAAACTCATCATTCAAGTCACACTACAATACAGTATAATAGAGAAAATCTTTTCCTTTATTAAAAATAATATAACATACCAAATATTAATCCCACTGCATTTGACTTTTCATAGTGTGACAGGGTCAGGCCAGATTGCTACAGAAGAGTGATCGAAGGCAGATATATTAGTCCCAGATTAAGTAGATCCCTTTTCCCTGGGTAAGGTAACAGGGGCAGTTCCAGAACAAACAGGAACTTGCTGGAACCAGTCTCCATGATATTCTTATCGATAAACTAGGCAAATACAACTTAGATGGGGCTAATATAAGGTGGGTGCATAACTGGCTGGATAACCATACTCAGAGAGTTGTTATTAATGGTTCCCAATCCTGCTGGAAAGGCATAACAAGTGGGGTTCCACAGGGGTCTGTTTTGGGATCGGCTCTGTTCAATATCTTCATTAACGACTTAGATATTGGCATAGAAAGTACGCTTATTAAGTTTGCAGATGATACCAAACTGGGAGGGATTGCAACTGCTTTGGAGGACAA